TCAGCTCTGCAAATGAGCATGTTAGTTATTTAGAGTGAGGTCTGCCCAAAAGTTGTCAGAATAAGCATTTTTACCCTTAAATTTACCTAATCAACCTCATTCAAAAATGAGGACCTCAGGATAAGAGATTCACAGGGATATTTAGCTTGCCCAGAATCTCTGTTACCCTAAACCAGTGGTGGCAAGCTTACGGCACCATGCAGACCGCTCATATCACAGAAAGTTCTAAAAGTTTCTCCATCGCTGTGCCTAAACCTGTGTTTGCCTTGGATTCCAGCAGTGCTTCACGTGAATGAAACTGTCCCTCAAGTTAAGACCATTTCTCTCATGGCAACTGAATTGGCCCTCAAGTTATGAGGATTCAATATGAGCTACAAGTCAGGACTGAGATAGTGATCAACCAGTACCCAGCACACTGCTGCCCCCTAAACATTGACCCCATCCTTGTTGGCAGAGCAGTCTGGTCTCTTCCTCAGCGCGCCCTTTCCAGCCACTATCCAGGCCGAGCCTTTTCTTTATCTTCTCTTCCCTTTCAGTTAAAGCATTAACCTATAAATTCCTATGGTGACTTTAGTTTTATTTTTCACTAAAGCAAGGACCCATGCTAGCCAATGGCAAAATGATACCAATATTTAAAATGGTATGGTTCTCTAGTATTGATAACTTCCCGAAGTGCATCCTACAAAACACTGTTCCCACAAACTTCATTAAAAAACAAACATTCTGGAACCATGGCCAACACTTGTCTTACCTGTGCACATTGCAGGCTATAAAATCAGATGTTCTCTTTCCTAGTATTACTTCCAGATGAAGTAAACAAATGATGTAATTCTGGCCAATGAGGCATAAATTGAAGTCCGTTGATCCCGTACCTTTTTTGGGGAAGTGGGAGTAAGTGGAGATTAAATTAAGGAAATGCTGAGCTATACCCTAGCCCCTTCTTCTTTTAAATTTTTTATTTTGAAGCAAAGTCTGACTAAATTGGCCAGATTGGCTTTGAACTTGCAATCCTGTATCAGCCTCCTAAGTAGCTGAGATTACAGGTGTATTACACTGCATTCCATTCTGAGTTTTTGTTAAAGGATTTAGAACAAAAGGAAGAACAGGATTTCCAGGGGTGTTAAGGACTGCCGTTCACCTTGGGACCTCATCTTCCTGCTGGAATTCTTCATATTCCTGTATAAAGTTCACCTGTTGCCCTACCCAGTGGCCAACCTGGTCCTGGATATGGTGATGCTGCTGTTATACCTTGGAATTGAAGTAATCCGATTGTTCTCTGGTACAAAGGGAACCTCTGCCAGCAGAAGATGCCCCTTGGCATCAGCAGGGCCCTGACCTTCCCATCTGCTGTGATGGCCTCCTATTACCCGCTGCTGCAGACCTATATGTTCTGCCTGGAAGCCATCATGAACGGCATCCTGCTCTTCTTCTGTGGCTCAGAGCTGCTGCTGGAGGTGCTCACCCTCGCCACTTTCTCCAGTATGGACAAGATTTAAAGCGCAAACATTTCAGCCCACAGCCTGTCAGGCCGACACATACTACAGCACTTCAGCCCCAGCCCTGAGAAACGGTGCATCATGTTGGCCTAGGAAAGGTCACACAACTTTTCATCAGCAATGACACCCAGGAACCCTGCAGGATGGGGCCAGTGGGTGCCATTAGCCAGGAGATTCTACTCCATTAGAGGGAGGGGCAGGCTGGCCCCATCCTGGCCCTTGTCAGACAATTCCTGGCCATCTTCAAGTCCTCCTCTTTGATCACCTTGGCTGGAGCATCTTGTGTGGATCACTGAGGCTCCTAAACGTGCCATGCCACACCTGGTTGTCCCACACACACCCAGAGACATTAGGGTGGTAATGGGGGGATATGACTGGAGCCTCACTGTGCCTCCAGGACCTCCATAGTAGCACATAGTGTTATTTTTCTACTTTGATCATGAAACAAACCTTTATAATAAATATGTTTTCCATTGTGGGAAAAAAAAAGATTTAGAACAAGAGCTAAAGTAGGTATTTGGGGATTTGAAAGGAAAGCCTAAGTTGCAGAAATATTAAGCTCCTTAAAGGAGAGCATAAAACCTAACCAGCAACCACTTGCTTCCTGAGTTCTTGCTCCCTAAGAACACATGACTCCTTGCTTGGACTTCCATAATCAGGTAATATACACCTTGCAGCTGAGCACACACTGAACTAGATGTAGAACACTACATACTATATGTCCTTAACAGAACATTCAATGATCTCAGCAAGTCTCAGGAGAAGAAATATTTTGTTTAGTATTTTATCTTCTCAACTTGTTTAATCAAGAAGCTCTTGTCTTCCTGCACTAACCACTAATACCTCAAGAATCATGATGTTTAGAGTATGATTCCTAGACTGGCAACTTCTGCATTATCTGGAGACCTGTTTAGAAAACCAGAACCACGGGTCCCAACCCAGAATCAAGATTTATATTTTATTAAGATCCCAGGTGATTTGTAGACATTAGAGTTAAAGAAGCACTACTTTAAGAAACATTAATTTAGAGCATCAAACACAGCTAATCTTATTATGTGACTTATGATTTCAAGGACATCTATTATTATTGTTTTTAATACCTACTTCACTAATAATGCCTCAACTAGCTATTTTTTGAATGCTTTGTGCAAGGTATAATGTTTTAACTTGTGTAATCCTCAGAGAAATATCTAAAATAACGATTAGTTTTTAAAAAGAGAGAAAACCCACAAGTAGAATAACACTCATGTAGGACTCTGTTGTATAGTCATTATTTTGATCATTTCCTCACTTATGTCTTTAATGATAAAGTCAGTAAATAAACATTTGAGGTCCTCTCACACCCCAGAAATTTCTGTGAGGCACATACTGTGTTGTAGGTGAGATAGGTGAGGATCAGAGAAGTTAATATCCAACCAAGGCTGTAAGCTAGGAAGTGGCAAAGTCCCTGGCTTCAGGATTTAAGAATCATTAAATGGTATTGCCTATCTAATCTTCTTGCATTTACATCTATTTCCTGATTTGTGTACTTTATACATAGGGATTTCCTCAGCCTACAATGATCTCTCCAAATATACTTAATTAAAAGGTCTGAGCTCAAAAAGTCTGTGTGAGCAGCTTCCCCCGGTCTGCTCCCCAGTGCCAGGTCAGGCCCACTGTTATATATCTCCCAGGCACATGGTTCTGTTTCAAACTTATCAGCTTTTAAAATCATTTACATTTTTGGTATGCTGTAATCTTTCTCAAATAGCTGGGCTCCCCTGAGCATATAGTTGGCATACAAGCACTTATTGAAATATCCTGACTTGGGCTCTTACTCTTCTGGCTCTGCCCAGAGGAGGGTCAAAATAAAGGCAAAATATTTCAGTTAGCATCAGAAGCCTGGAGTCTTGCATTTGAGTCCTTGTTCTCCTTCTCATTAACTCTTTAACTCTTAGAAGTCAGAATCATGCATTTTCAGCTCTATTAAATGCCAATAAGAATGTCTCACAGAGCTACTAAACTCAGCATAAGAATTTTTATGAGGCCTACGATAGAAGTGTACAACCTACATTAACATGCAAAAATATAAGTAGTGTTTTATAGTGATTAACATCCTGTGCTGTGGTTAAGGCTTTCAAACTCTGTAGCCAAAAATGGAGTCTAATACCCAGCTCATATTTATTGTCTGTGGTGTTGATTTGGTAATACTTTATGTGCTAATTTTGCCATGTTTTGTCAATTGCACTAAAACTCAATTTATTGGGTGGGCAAGATAGCTCAATGGGCTTTCGGCCGGAACTGCCATCTTCCAGGCTGTTACTGGTTTGCACCGTGAGCATTGTGTTGGAAGATTCATTTCAGTAATTTGCCAAAATGACTAACACAAAGGGCAAGAGGAGGGGAACCCAGCATATGTTTTTCAGGCCTTTTAGAAAACATAGGGTGGTTCCTTTGGTCACATACATGCGAAACTACAAAAAGGGTGATATTGCAGACATCAAAGGAGTGGGTACTGTGAAAAAATGAATGCCTCACAAATGTTACTATGGCAAAAGGGGAAGAGTCTACAACATTACCCAGTATGCTGTTGGCATTGTTGTAAACAAGCAAGTTAAGGGCAAGATACTTGCCAAGAGGATTAATGTGCGTATTGAGCATATTAAACACTCAAAAAGTCATGATAGCTTCCTGAAATGTGTCAAGGAAAATGATCAGAAAAAGAAAGAAGCCAAAGAGAAAGGTACCTGGGTTCAACTGAAATGCCAGCCTGCCCCTCCCAGAGAAGCATACTTTGTGAGGGCCAATGGAAAGGAACCTGAGTTGTTGGAACATATTCCCTATAAATTCATGGCATAAACTGGGGATGTTGCTCTGCCATTCAGTACGTAATTGGCAGCTTAAGTGTTCTAGGTCCTATGTAAAAATAAAATCATCCTGTGTTGTAAAGGTGGTTTTCTTAGTTGAACAGGTATGTGGTGCCTTCTTACCTCAGAAATATTTGCAGCAGATTTTCACTTACCCAGTAATTGTGTCTAGCCTTTACTCTTCAGTATTTTCTTGCTGAAAGATATTGCCTAGGTATTGTGCAGGTGTATACCCAAAAATTCAAATATTTATAAATATTTATATTGGCTTGAAGATCCTGTAAATCATCATGGGGAAAAGATGTATCAAAATAAATGGAAGTCACTTCAGAAACAAATTTAAGTCCATTTCAGTTAAATAAATTGTTTAAAGAAAAAAAAAAGATAGCTCAGTGGTCAAAGTGTCTGTCTGGCAAGGGCAAGCAACTGGGTTCAATACCAAGTACTACATGCTATGCTGGCCCTGCCCCAGGCACTCTGAGCAGGCCACCGAAACCAGGCATGGTGGTGCACACCTATAATCCCAGCACTGGAGAGGCTGAAACAGGAGGACTGCTACAAATTTGAGCTGCATAGCAAAAGCACATACCAAATACAGATTTTTTTTAAAAACTTAATTTATTATGCATTTATGTTTGCATTATCTCCTAAATCTTGGTATATAGTCTATGCTTTTATTTTATTTTTTGTACAACATAAATTGTATCAGAGCTCTTTACAAATAACAATTCAATAAACATTAACACAATCTACCTTTATTTGGCAAATAATGTATAGCTGCTGCACCCAAAATATACTAAGTCATAAATCAAGTAAACATAATGAAAATAGTACACACAATAATGCCATCATTATGTGTATGCTCAGAATTGTCATTTTTCAAATTATTTTAAATAAGATGAATTGTAGAAATGAAAGCCTAAAGGGTACAATTAAATAATATTTGGAATAAAATCATCTGGTCTAATTTTCATAACCACAGATTTCAAAGAATACCACCACCCATGCCAAGTATACCACACAACCCCATTGTCAGTCTCAGCTGTGTAGGGTCCCCTGTAGTAGACACCATTTAGGTTTGCAGAGTGACACCTAGTGGGAGAAGAAAAGAAAACAGAATAATCAGACCAGAAAAAAAGCACCTTTCAGAAACCTATCTGGTCAGCAAATGATCAAAACTTTTAACCGTGATTATCACTTCATAGACAAATGACTGCTTTTTAATTTTCAAAAGCTGAGACATTTCTGCAAACAGATTAGCTTTTTGGGTTGTTAAAAACAATGAGTAGGACGGACATGTTTACTGTACACAAACCTTGGTGTGGAGTTGGTACATGAACAAAACAGATTCTAATTCTTTTCTTCAACACCATTCTCTCTCCTCCTTCCACTTCTTGGTCTCCTTCCTATTTGAGAAAAATCTTTCTTCATACTTCCTATTATCTATGCTTTATTTTGCTCTTTATATTTTGGTTTTCTCATTTTAGAGAAACAATGTGATATTTAAGCTTGTGTATCTGATTTATTTCACTTAACAGTATAGTCTCAAAGTGAGTTGGCTTTTTAAAATGTCAAGTCTTGGTGTGGTAGCACACATGTGTAATTCAAGCATGTGGGAGGATCACACTGATGTTGAGGCCATTCTGGGCTATGTAGTGAGTTCAAGTCCAGACTTGGCTACATAGCAAGATCCTGTCTCAAAAATAAAAACAAAATAAATGTATGTGTTTTATTGCCATAATAAATCTGGAGATTCAACTCAGGCCACTTGGAGTATAGCTACTGAAAACTAAGCATTTAGATTCTTATTAGTCTTTAAGCCAAAAAGTGAGTATGTGTGTATACATGTATGTGTGAATGTGTGCATATGTGTGTGTGTGTGTGTGTGTGTGTTGGAACGGTGCTTGTAGCCTCTAGCCTTACATCCAACTCATCAGAGCAGTGCTCACCTCATGCTTAGGAAGAGTGGCCTGGGTTAGTGAAGCAAGGCAAGGGGTAAGGGGCTCTGCTGAGGCTTCCCTGGTCAATTTTCACTTGCAGGTTCATTAATGGGCTGCAAAGCACTGGCTCAATATTCAGGCTCCCTCCCTTCTCCTCTTTAAATCACTAGCATATCAATTATTTTCATCTCCAGAATAAGCAAACAAATCTTAAGCCAACATTTAAAATTTTTTCAGCCACAGGGCCAGGGAGATAGCTCAGTGGAATAGGTGCTTACTTGACAAGCCCAAGGTCCTGAGTTTGATTTCTGGTACTGCAAAAAAATAATCTTCAAAGAATTTCCCAGCCCTTAACCAATAAGCACTTAAGTGGAGGAGTTAATCTTCTATATCTATTGAATTTATTAGAGAAGTTTGTTATCAGGTTATCATTCAATTTTTAAATAATGCTCTTCCTCCTTTGGAGCCTGTATATTTGTCCCTGGTATATGTAATTTACAAATAAAAATGTGTAATCATTTCCTGTGTTGCACTATTATGGTACTAACTACCATATATTTCTACTTTGCTATAACCAATGAAAATATGTCAGTGATTAGGATATAAGGAGGACATTCTCAGGGGGTAGATATGAAAATATATGCAAAGAACCCAAATTATTGAATAAAAATCATAATTTACCCATAAACATAAGAGTGGCTAGCTTGGATCCCTTAGCTTAGTGCTATAATTTGCTTTTATTGACCATGCTGGAAGTCCTCCTAATTTAAATGGATCTGAATAATTGAAATCACAAATACTAAATCTGTGTCAAAAGTTTGTTGTTTTTAAAATACCATGAAAAGTAATGTTAAAAAAGAAAACATTGTAAACTGGACCTTCAGAATAAATATTTTGGCATACTTCTATATAGCATCACCTGCCATATAAACATACTTTTATTTTTGCTCCATAATTTAAAATCTATTGGGAACTTTATTTTATGGTTAACCCTTCAATATTCTGAAACTAATTTTCCGGAATCCTCCAATTTCTAGAATGGTCTTGACTTGACACTGAGAGTCCATTAACTGCATTGTTGGCCAAGAAGTAGCTGAGAGCAGTTGTGTGAGATTTCTGTGCCACCAAGGGAGGACATCACTACTCAGTCATTGGTTTGCTATGTGAGGAACAGTTCTAAGGTGCAAATATTTCATGTAAGTGAGAACAACTCTGAGACAGAGACAACAAAGAAGAAGGAAGGAAAATGGCATGGTACAGTTAAATTATAGTAGTACCTTGCATGATGAAAGTAGCATTAAATCCTAGGAAAATTTACTTTTTCTCCAGGTTTTCTAATTTTACCTGGATAACTCCAGTTGCTGATTTGCCCTCCTTTGTTGTCCCTGAACCCATGTCTCTAGAGTCAGATAAATAATTTATTTGTCCACAGTAATAGGTATGTTTGTTGTTATTCAGGTGCAAAAACAAGCCAACCACTGGGTAAAATACATGCTTTTGAGCTCTTGGTAAAATTAGTGATTATTTCTGTATGTGAAATTCTACTCAAAATGCAAACTTTTTGGTAAATGGGCTAAAGATCGAATTCAGGGTGCTCTGCCACTGAACTACATCCTTAGCCTTTTTCTTTTTTATTTTGCAATAGGATGTCAAATTTTCCATCCTCCTCCCTCAGGCCCCTGAGTGGCTGTCATTAGTGTATGCCAATGTGTATGGAAAAATCAAATATTATCACTTTTTGTTTATTTGTTTTTTACTTTGAGACACCATGCCTGGCTAAAATCAAACATTATTGATGCTTGCAGATGATTTTTTGGATTATATATAAAATTTCAATAATATTAACTTAGAAGTATGAAGAGGAAAGAAATGGGGAAGGCACAGATTTTTTTCTAAAAGACAAAAAAAACACTAGGGAAGAGTGTTTGCAATATGCTGATGTTAAAGTGGGAGATCTAGTATAGACATAATGAGTTGCTGGTAGTGCGGCTTGTTAAGGCAAATATAACTAGCTGTAAAAATAATAGGGTTTTCCCCCCCTAGATTTTGCTGTTTAAAAGTTATGTGTTCTAATAAGAACAAATCTTCTTATACATTAAATTAAAAGAATGTAGCTGCATATCTATCCTAACTATTTTGAATACACAGATACAAAATGGTCATTCATTTGTATTGCCTTTTTTTTTTTGTTTAGTTTTGTCAGAGATGGGTATCACATTGTCATTTAAATATTGTAGGCATGTGAATTCAGCCAAATAACCCAATATAGTCCAGTAGTCCATAATAGTAGTGGGTCATCCACAGGACTAGCAATGTCAGAAGTTGTTGACCTGAGCCCTTTACAGCCCAGCATACCCACATGACTTCACCCTTTATACCTCATTTTTATACCTTTCTGCTGGATGGTTAAGACCAAGATAGAACAAGACTTATATAACAAAAAATGCAACTTTTGTATCTAACAAAGTCAGTCAAGTCCCCTCAGGATTTATCCTGAAACCCTGTACCGCAGTTTGTAGATCCTTTGTCAGTGTCAGCCATGTGGATGAGTCACGGCCATTGCTTGACCAATTTGCTCTCTGTGAAAGCCTGAGAGAATGTTTTCTCTCCATGTGACTCTCCTTAGGCACACTCTACATCATCTATCACTTTCCTCTTTGGCCCCATAATCTCCTTGATCAGAAAATTTGGGACATAACTGGGTTACATGATGTTACAGTATAGGTTCTTCTATGTCCTGAGTCTTCACTGACAAATAGTCAAATATTAAATGGACTCAAACTTTTAAAGAGCAAAATCTAGGGGGGGAAACCCTATTATTTTTACAGCTAGTTATATTTGCCTTAACAAGCCGCACTACCAGCAACTCATTATGTCTATACTAGATCTCCCACTTTAACATCAGCATATTGCAATCTGATGCCAGGATAGGGACTTTCCTGATTTTAAGGGATTTTAGCCTATGTTTGATTTTCCTCTGTTTAGAAGATTCTAAAATACTTTAAAAACACACTGAAGGAAAAGAGGTGAAGTTTAAGTTGTGGAATTTAAATGAATAATCTTCAATATATGGAAAACCTGACACTCTAAAAATGCCAAAAATTTTATAATGGAAAGTTTAAATGTCCAGTGTGTTTTGAGGCGGCTCTTGGAAAAAACTTGGAAAGTTCACATGTTGCCTGACAGTTGGAGTTCATCTGCTTTGCACAGAGAGAAACCTCATTGGGTCACTTCTAGGAAGGACTGCAAAATGTTACCATTCCTGTCTTAATCACAGCAAATGAAGCTATCTGGAGACCAGCTCAGATAGAGAAGAGTTTAAAAAGTCAGGGATATTAGGCCCACAGAATAGAAAATACTAAGGACTGCAATAAGTCACTTTTCATTCAGGGCCTGAAGAATTACATTGGAAAGGGATCATTACTGTGTAGATACAGAGGGAAAGCCTGACTAGATATAAGAATATAGATTCCAGGTCCATAAAAGAGCTTTGCACAATTATTGGAATGATCTTGCTAATAAAGTAACACTGAAGTATCGAACCAGAAGATGGGATTGGCTTTCTGGAACACTGTAGAAAATTTTTCTGCTTTGGGAGATCTTGAATTCAATGAACTACTGAAAGACACGATGATAGAAAAGTACTATTATACTGTACTAGGAAAATTCAGCAATAATAAGGAAATTTTGTATTGTATGAAAAGGTGAAGCACTCATTTGTTATTATGATGCCATAATACTTATACCTCAGGAGCCAGGGAGATGGCTCAGTGGATTAAGCGCTTCCCTGGCAAGCACAAGGGCCTGAGTTCAATCCCCAGTTCCACCAAGAAAAAAAAAAAAAAAAGAATACTTATACCTCATCCACAATTTAGTTTACAAGTAGTTTTTGCAAAAGTAGTAATTTGATTTATTTCTATGTCATATCTTTCAAATGTCACTAATATACACAATGAAAAATACTCCATTGCTAAAGAATCCTAATAACATAATTATTTAGTAATGCTAATATTCCAAATGAGACCAACATGACCTCATATGTTGTAATTAATCCCTACCAGTGAGATAGCATCAACACCATCAGCACCATATTTATAAAGCATCAAACCTGTTAAACCACCAGCCAGACTGATCCTCCTCTGCACAGTTCCCTCTGTAGTTGTCATTGTCTCTGTCTCTTGTGCTAAACTTCATCCTTTGATGACTGGCCCACCACTGCATCTCTGGATGAAAATTCCCTGAAAGGCAGTCTCCAGCAGTTCCAGAATATTCTCCAATATTCAACATGTAAGAATTCTAAAGGAAAAGAGGCAGGTTTCATTATTAGTAGTTACCATTTTAAAAACATGTTTATCTAGTAAATAAGAGAGCAGGTTCTATTGTATATATTTTATCTCTAATGACTTCAGTTTTACATAGTGCAAGTATTAATTCATGGTGTTACTAATCCGGAAATTATTGTACCTTTGCATCTCCAACTTTGAAACTTTTATATTGCGCGTAACGGGTATTCTTTTCAAAATCTTCAAGGTCGATTTTTAAAGTGTAGTCTCCTGAAAAAAAAGACTGTAGTTTTTTAAAATGTGTGATATATATGATATGAGTTTGACAGCAGTTTACAGATCTAGTTTACATTTACTACCTGCTTCTGTCAAAAATCAGCCTGTTTTTTGTCTTGTTTGGGGTTTTTGTTTGTTCTTTTTTTTTTCTTTTGGTTTTTTGGGGGTGCTTGTTTGTTTTTGAGACAGAATCTTTCTATGTAGCCTGGGCTGGCTTTGAACTCGCAACAGTACCCCTGTCTCAGCCTCCTGCGTGCCGCAATTACAGGCGTGTACCAGCATGCCTGGATAAGAATCAGTCTTTGAAAACTAAACAATGACATTGCTGTATTTAAGATGTGAATCCTTTATTGCTTGTTTCTTGAAAAATGTGAAAGACAGCATAGGAAAGGTAGAACATTTCTACTAATCCATCATAGATTAAAAACTAGTACATTCAATCCCCGGTACCGCAAAAAAATTAAAATAAAAAATAAAATAAAATAAAAACTAGTACAATTCAATTGGTAATGAGTAACATAAATGGGTTGAAATTATCTAGTTTCAACAGTATGAAGTCTTCAAGTGAAAGGATAGAAGTTTTCAAAATCTGACACTTTATTCTGTTTTCTTAATTTCATTAAGAATCTTTAAAAATTTTATTTATTTATTTATTTATAGAGTCTCCCTTGTGCTTGCCAGGCAGGCACTTAGACCACCAAGTTATCTCCCTAGCCCTCATTAAGAATCTTGATCCTAAAAAAAAGTCATTACTATCAATAATTTTTTATAGTTTCTATTAGCCAAGCTACCCATAGCCATTATTACCTACATATATATGATCTTGTTTTTTTTTCTGGTGATATAAAAGATCAGCGAGCAAATCCTTTGAGGATATAAGAAGGAAATATGAATCCTGAGTGTTATGTGAAAATTTCTTTACTATTGACTCATTCAAGGGAACGCTAGCATCAAATTCTGTGAAGTGGATGCCATTAGAATGGAATATGAGAGACAACAGGGAGGCTGGGGAGAGATAGCTCAGTGGCATAAGTGCCTGACTGGCAAGTGCAACATAACAACTTTGATCCCCAGTATTGAAAAACAAAAATCTACAGGAACATTCTCAAGAATTTGAGATTTCTGGATTTGCAAGAATTCATGATGCACAGATGGTCGTAATTATTGGAAAATACATTAATATCAAAGACTTTGAGTCAAAAGCGTTTTTGAAGAGTTGATATCTGAATGTAAAAGCATTTTAAAAATAAACTATTTGGCATGTATTATTTATACATGCTAAACATAAATACAATAAAAACAAATTCTGAAATATAAAACAAAAGAGGTACTTTGACGACCATTATATTTTAGATGATAAAAAGGTACTATCTGGAAAAAAAAAAAAAAAAGGTTGAAGTAGATGCTATTTCAAAGAATTGTGTTTCCTGTTGTTCCACTGTTTGTGAATAATAAAAACTATTCTTTCTTCAACAATACTATTGTCAAGAGCGGAGAAAGCTGGAAATCAAACCAACTCTTCATTGAAATGTGTTCTATCCTATTTTAATAACTAAAACAATGACCTGTAAGGCCACCTTGTTTAGAGTCTCAGACTCCTGACAGTTCTAAGCTGAAAATTGGGAGACTGCAAAGACGCCCCAGGCTATAGTTGGGGTTGGTTTTTCTCTTCCTATCCTGATTGTCACCATGCGCAGCAAGAGGTATTGGACACACTTAGGACTTTGTGGCTGTACTTCTAGCTCTTTCTACATCCATGATAAAAACTGTGCCTTAGCCTCTCCTCTGGCTCAGCTCAGAAGTTTTCACATCAGTAGCCCAGAAGCATAGACCAACAGAGGCCTGAATGTGTCCCTGAAAACAAGTGCAAGGCTGTGGAGCTTGGAAGTCTAGATTTCTACTATTGAGCAAGTTTCAGAAGGGATGTTGGTGGAGAATCTCATTACTCTGTAAAGGCAGTAAAGATTGGGTGAGCCAAGACTGAGAAATGTTTGGCAACAAACTGTGTCTCAAAATACTTGAGGCACAGGGGAGATATAAAGTCAGTTTTATTTTTAAGGTAATTATCTAAATATTCCTTTAGTCATTATCAAACTTGTAGTTACAGACCATTTCTAAATTAATTTTATTGCCAGAAGTAAAAATGTAGGGAGTGTGGATGAAACTATTGGCCTGAAGTGTTCTCATTATTAAAGATTGCAGGGACAAAAAGCACTGTCTTCTGTTCAGGGTGATATGATACACAGTTGTGAGGCCTGGAACTGATACATAAATTTTCAGTACTATAAGAATAACCAGCTTGAACACAAAATTAAACCATAAACTGAAGTCCTGGGATGTGGGTTTGTGACAGAGTGTATACTTAGCATGTACATGGCCTGCAACCTCAACACCAAGCACGCATGAGAGGGAGGCAGGCATGTTGACAAAGCCCACCTAGGCAAAACTGCACATGGAAATTATGTGGAAAATAAGCCTGAATTTCATATATTTAAGAGGTTCAAAGTATTATTGCTGGGAGTTTTCATTATTGATTGTTTTGAAGTACCAGATAAATTTAATGTGCAAAAGAAATCAAAGGTGGTATGATAAATGTTATGTATCTGGAAAAAATCACTTAAATTAAGATAAATATGTTGAAGGAAAAGAAAAATTATATAAAGTTAGACAGCAATGATCACACACAAAAGTATTAGGCTTCCAGAAATATCCTCTAAGGCTATTATTCTCATGTTTCAAAGATCTTTATGATTATAACCCTACTATTATGAATATAGAAAGATCAATAGCTCTTCTGAGCTTAGATAGAACAAAGAAATTCTCACTCATATTTAATATACTGCCAACAGGATTTAGCATGTTTTCTTGGGCAATACAATTATCTTTTATGAAATATTCATAATCAAACCTCAGTGTAGTTGGGTATAATCTCAGACTACAACTAAGGTAAAGAAGGCTGTCTATAGCAACAAAACATGGGAAATAGGAGCTTGGACAATTTGTTGTCAATATTTTATACAAATGTCAAACTCTAGTTAGAAATGTACATGTGAAAAGTATGTTAATGCACGTATGCATATACTAAAGCAAAACTCCACTATTCACTGAAAGTAATATGCACTAATTGAAAAATGTTGTCATATAAGTCATTCAATTTAATAATGTAAAGCCTAATTTATTAATTCATAATAAGTGAATGACCATTTTTAAAAAGACATACAAGTGAATGCATGAGGGGAGAACTATACAAAAGTCTGTAATTTACTCTGAAATATATCTATTTTAATATGCATTTCTAAAAAGTCAGAATTATGGATGACAAATAAAAGACTAGGCAGATGGCTACATGTGATAAAACAGGCACAATAAAATGCTAATAAGGAAACTAGGTCATACACCAAGACTTCTTTCAGCTTCGCTGTGTCTTCAAAGAATTGTAAAAATTAAAAATGGGACACAGTGTAGAAACAAGGCCATTTAGTAGATAATGATATTTGATTGCAAAAATAGCTCCAATTCCCTAATTTTTCACCTATTCCTTTTGCACTGTTACTGCTTCCTAACTCCTATTACCTACTTCTTTCCCCCTTTTATCAGAGTCAGTCTTGTAACTTGCTTTCGCTGACTGAAGGAAAATGACATTTTCAGTTGTCATTGTGAGTTCTGAGCTGAAGTCTGAAGAGATGTCCAGGCTTCCACCGTGTTCCCTAGAACCCAGGCTGTGCTACAGGGACAGGTCCTGGCTAGCTAGCTGGAAGATGAAAGACCTGAGCATTTTTATCTGAGGCCATCCTGGAGCAACCAGCTTCCCGCTGGCCAAAACACTGGTTGCAGATCGTTCTGCAAGTCTAGCCAAGATCAGTGGAGCCCAGTCCTGCAGAGCCAAAGCCCCAACTAACCCATAGATTTTTGAGAAATAATAAATAGTAGCTTTGAAGACACGAAGTTTTGAAGTGCTTGTTAACCAACATTACTGTGCTAATAGATAACTGATATAATATATAATTTTCAGGCACTGAAGGCATTAAAATGCTTATAGCATTACATTTCCTTTCTAGAAATAGAAAAATATGCATGAGAAAACAATCTGCTCTCAACCTTATTCTAGTTTCTTTTTCTCTCTTCCTAATTTTAAGCAGCTACATTTGCAAAAGGAGATTATTGCATAACAAGTAGTATTACTATCTGCAAATCATAGTAGTTACTGAATTAGTTTCATTGCCTATAGCTTAGTGGCTAGCATATTAGTATTGTCTCTCTTGTATTTCAAGTTGACATCGAGCAAATTTTACCTTGTACGGTCAATAGGTGAAGAATTTTATTTCCCAACCAATATTCACCATTGTTTTGGACAAAATTTCCAAAGCCATTTTCATAATCATTCCAGTCTCTAAAAATGTAAAATAGAAGCTAATTTTTATCAAAATCCAAATGGACATCTGCAGGGCCCAAAGTAACATCTTCAACACCCCCATCACTAATATTTCTTATTAATTAATTCATTCTTAGTACACTTATTTAGAAAGAAATTCTGTCTAATTAACAGAGTTCAGGTATAATTTTTTAAAGACAACATAAATCTCACAAATCTCATATTTCCTGCTCCAGATGCATTCTTGTAATTAACACACCTGTTAAAGTTTTCGCTGCCATCAGCTCGTCTCTGAATTACAGTCCACCCTCCGCCATCAGACATGTCGCAATAAACAGAGAATTCTGCTGGGCTCTGGAGAGGTTTAATTTTGTAAAATCCACTGCTCTTATATCCATCGTTGAAAATCTCTGAACAATCTGTTCACAAAAATAAGGCACTGGGCTGGGGAGATAGCTCAGTAGAATAAATACTTGCCTGGAAAGCACAAGGGCCTGAGTTCAATCCCTGGTTCAGCAAAACAAAAACAAAAACAAGGCACTGTACCCTTTGTCATATGTCTTCTTTTAAATAAAATTTGAGATTACTCAACACCAATGAAGATATATTAACATAGTATAACCAATTTTCTAAAATTTTAACTTGTACATTTTCAAATAAACATAACAAGGTCATTTTACTTTTATCCCTAGAATTCAGTTATTATCAATTCCTTGAGGTGATCACAGGGAAAAAAAAGAATAAAATAGGAATCATTTACTTCTTAATGATTTTGTAGAAAACAATTTTAAAATAAATTATATGTATTCGATGAATTACAGCATAAGGGAATTTATGCCTTTATTAATCAGCACAGAAGAACTTATCTCTACTATAAAGCTAAAAATGAAAGTGGAAATATAATGCCAAACCAATAATTTAATATTGGCTACCTTGATTTGAAGACTTACAACTCATCTGAACATCTGATAATAAACCCCAAATCCTAATCTTGTTCTTATAATCTCTTTCAATTTCACCAGATATTTTTACTAATTTACTGAAATGTCTTTTTTCTTTTCTTTTTCATTTTTTTGAGACTGGGTTTCTCTATGCAGCTCAGGCTGCCTTTACACTCACTGTGGAACCTGGGGTGGGGGGGCTTGAATTTGGAGCAACCCTCCTGCCTCAGCCTCTCGAGCACTGGGATTATAGGCCTGTGCCTGTACGCCTGGCCTTACTGAGATTTTTTTTTTCTACTTGTAATTTATCTTTTCCTACTGTAATTTCTAGCTGTCCATACATTCTTAGGTATCTTAGCTAAAAGCTGGAAGCTTCCACCATTCTTTTCAGCCTTGCATTTGTCTTTGCCATGGGCTTCCTTCCCACAGTGATCTAAGATAGCTAGCAATTTTGCAACAAGATGTAACCTTTATTTCATAAACCACTTGAGGATGGAGCAAGTTAATACCTATTGGATCTCTCCTAGACTTCTCTGCACATATTATAGAATATAGGTAAGAATTATTTAGATGCTCAGAAAACTATACTGTAGGGTGACCAAAGCAGTGGCCACTACAAAAAGATAGTCTCCAGAATAATTAGCCACAAACTTCTGAGTAAAAGTACTTCAACAATTCTAACTTTCACATTTTTTTAGGGGAGCAAAATTATGTTTATTAGGAAATCACTAGCACCACACTCTTTGAAATTACAGGAATTTTATTTGCCTCAGGTTTATTAATTGCAATCAAAGACAATGTGCAAAGAAAGCAAAGATTAAGTATGCTTTGGGGAAGATGGAGACAGTACACATTGGTGTCATAGGAAATCAGGCAGATGAAAGAAGCCATCCAGTATACTATATAGATTGCAATATTCAATAGTGCTTTCAACAAAACTTTTTAAAACCAAGAGAAAAAAATTTAAGCAATGTTTACAGTAGACAAATCTTGTACAATTGAAAAAGCATTTTTCAGCTCATAGAGCAGAAAGTGGGAAAATGTATGTGTAGGTAAAACCTAACTGCTGTACATTTATCACCTATTAAAGTTGCTTATATGTACCAGTGTAAAAAAAATACCGAACAAATAAAAATCTTGAAAATTGCCTAATGAAAAATAAGGTAATCGGAGGTTTTTAATGGCTTCTCTTGGTTACCAGTACTACAAAAGACAAAAATCTCATCCAAACAGGTAAGAAAACCAGGCACAAACCTTTACCAAATTAGACCCACCCACAGAGATATACTGTACACCCACATTTTCCATCAAAAGCTTTTGTTTGCTTTAATCTTTGAATCTCTGAGGCCCATTTGGTCACAATATGTTACCAACTTTGCCACAGAGTTTTTTACACCATGATGTCATATGTTTTTCTGGCACTAATCTAAAGCTAGTTTATGAGATGAAGAGGAGGCCACAGAAAGAACCCAATGCCCACAGGACACGTGAACCCTTGGGGTAGAAATGGGAGAGGGAAGGATAGAATTTAGTTCCATAGGGATCACTCCCCATCAGTCTCACTCGCTTCTGACTGGTCATTTTCATCCTGCTCTTTGTTGCTGTCAAAATCGCTCACCACTGGCTTTGCTTTTCCTTGATTTGGCCTTTTCATGCCTTTTCCTTTGTCCTGGCCTTTCTCTTCTCTCTTATTGAGCTTGATTTTCACCTGAACAGATTTTGCCTCAGACTCCACATCGTCCTCTTTCTCTTTGTCTTCCTCATTGCTTTCCTCCTTGCTTTCTTCCCCTTTGGCAATTTTCTGCTATGCGCTCACTCTTAAACACCGACTATAAGACAATGGAGTCTGGGATCCCTCCAAGTTCATCCTCTGAGCACTGTACCACAGAAGCATGACATCTTTCTCCAGGTCACCCAGGCTCTGCTACTTAGGATTACGAATTCTTTGTTATATTTTTGGAATCCACTGGCTTCCTAATTAATTCGTAGTATTCTTGTAACTTTTCTCTGGAAAGTAACTGAATGAAGACTTCACTAAGCTGCCACCCTGGACTGCTTTCTATTTCCGACTGCGAATTACTGGGCACCTTCTCCACATTATACCTATCTTTGTAGTTGATCACAGTATCAATAATACAGTTCATCTGTTTCATCAGTTTGGGGAATTTGGTGACAGTTTTTTAGCTGGAGAGCAGCTTCATCTCTTCTTAGTTTTTTCTACACCTTCTTTCACAAGATCTTTATTCACATTTCTTTGTCATCTCCTCTTAAGTTGTACATCCTCTTTCATTTCTTCCAAATTGCTGTCTTCAGTGGCCCCTTAGTTTGCCTCTATAGTTTATGAACACAGATCTCCTTGCTTGGACCAAGTCTCTCCTCTAACTTTCAAATTTTACCCTAATCATTAGCAATTTTCTCTCTTGAAAATAATATATATATATATATATATATATATATATATTTGTTTCTGATTGAATCATCCCAGTCTTTTAAGATATTTTAAAATCCTTTCTTCATGTTTATTATTTTGATGCTGAATTGTCTACAATTGTTTTGTCATAGCTAAAGTAATCTGCACATTAAGGGCAATAAGAATCAGAAGACAAATAAAAATCTTTAGTCACTTTATAAAGCTCTCACAAGGCCAAGAGCAATAATACATTTGCTTTAATGAGATAATCATCATAATAATGATTTATGCTTTATTTGTACATGTATTGCATTTTCAAAATCACATGCACAATATTTCATATACATGCTGGATTATAAAAGGGATTCTGTTTGTGATCAAACAAGAAGAAAAAAATGGGAAAATGGTTACATAATGTAAGCTCATGTTATTATTTACATCTTGGAGTCAAGCACACTGTGCAGCATGTGCATTAAAATAAACACATTGTAAGCCACTTAGGAAAGGAGTTCCAGTTCCTTGTTTACATTAATCTTCTACCAAAGACCTGAATAGCAGAAACCCACAAAGCTCAAACCATTCTCCAGGAAAATATGGGAATATTCAGCTACAACATTGCATCTAGAAAACTTTATGGAAAATTCTTCCAACATGTTCTAATTTTTTTACTTTATTCTGTTCATATATTTGTTTTTAAAATTTTATTTCACCCAAAAAAAAATGCCAAACACAATTTAAGATCTAGAGGATGGTTTTCAATGGAAAAAAAAATCACGGGAGAAAAAAAAAATCTTCACAAACACACGCACAAAAAAGCATAAACAGTTTATAGCCCAACCAGTTATGATAAGCAACAAATCAAGAAGCTTGTCTTGGAAAATGTGACTTACACTGAGATAGCAGAAAGTTTGACCAATGTCGAGCTTAAACCTAGATATTTAAAACTGTGATATTTTTCAAAATGTTTAACTCATTCAGTCCCCTGGAAAATAGGTAAAAGGAGGAAAAAATTAGAGAGATCTGTGTTTATGGGAGCTTAAAAAAGTCAAGATACTTTTTTTATTTCCATAATACTAGTGAGAAGCCAGGGCTTCCTGCCCTCTCTTTGGACAAGCATTGTGTTACCCTGGGTAATGTGAATAGTTTCTCTGTACAGAAAGCAAGCCATGTTGGAAGGCTGAATTAGTGTAAACTTCGTAAAGTACCAGCTTGCCAAAAGGGATTTTTCCTGTTATCCTAGAAGGACAGCTGAAGCTCAAAGCAGCTGCAAGCCCATGCAGACACTAAGTGCATTCTTTCTTCAGTTTTTAGTTTTTATTAGTACATGTTTGCAGTACATAATGATTATATTCTTTGTGGGGAGTTCATACAGGTATACATTTCAATTCTCTTCTTATCCATTTTTTCCTTCTTTCCTCCCTCTCCACGTCTTGATCCCCTTTTCATTTGAAAAGGATCTGTTTCCCTACTTCTTAATATCTCTTTTATTTTTCTCTTTATTTGTATAAGAAAAATTATGCAACATCAAAGTGCATCCATTTTCCTATAATGACTCAAGTTTATCCTTCTTTATGACAGAGTAATATTCCACTGTGAACAAACATCATGCTCTCTTTATCTGTTCGTCTGCTGATGGACATATAGGCTTCTTCCAAGATATAGTTATTATGAACTGTGCAGCTATAGAAATGGGCATGCATGTATCGCTGACCATGATGACTTTATCTCTTTAAGGAAGATGCCTAGAAACAGAATTTCTGGGTATAAATGAAATTTCTAATTTTAGTTTTTTGAAGAATCTTCATCCTGATTTCCACAGTGGTTGTACTAGTTTACATTCCCACCAACAAAAGAAGCGTTCTTTTTACCCTGCAGCCTCACCACTATGTGTTGTTAATTGATTTCTTGATGATGGCCATTTTTTCTGGAAAGAGATGAAATCTCAGTATTGTTAAAATTTGCATTTCTCTTGGAAGAAAATGTTCAAATGAGGAGGGGAAGGAGAGAAGGGGTAGGGAGAAGAGAAAAAATGGAGAAGTGAGAAAAGAAGGAAAATGGAAACAAATCT